TTTTCTCGGCAATTCACTTACTCACAACGATCATGCGTGCTTCCCTTCGGAAGTCGTGTAGACAGAACACCGCCGAGGAAGCGCCCTCCTCAGCGCCTCGATGGACGATCGATACGACGTCGTCTGCGGCACGAATATCTCTCATTCAACACACAATTAAATAATTCAGCTAAGATTGCCACGGGTTAAATTCTCGCAAAGACTTCGAGGCTAAAGACGATCAGTAGAGACAAGCTCGAAATAGACGTGTTATCAACGCGACGTAATCTGTAGACATATTTCGCACGCCGCTTTTTCTCGACTGTTAGAATTTTTTTAAAGCAAATTTTTATTAGTACGCATATATGATGTACGATTGTGGAAGTTCATTTGTGAATAATGAAAGTATTTTCAAATTAGACTCTTGCACTTTATACACTTACTTAGGTAAGTAATGAAAGTTCGCCGACCGATATTTCTAGGAATTCATATGAATGGATTTAATATGAATGAATCTTTATTGAAAACTACAGAATTTAGAATTAAACATATATACAACTGATCGTCTAAGATTCATGGTAAGGTAAAACGAAGTGGTGGGAAGCTATGTACGCTTGGCATTCACCGCGTGCCTTAGTTGCAGTTCACACTAAAGTCACCGATGAAAGCGAAGCGATACAGCAGATGAGGACAGAAAACGAGTAGTCGTGAGTACAGTAGCCGGAAGATTGAGCTGAGAGAGTGGGCGGAGATCGGGGAGACGATGGGGGCACGGCATGGGTCAAGCCTCGAGGGCCAGGTGGCCCGGATTAGGCGGGCACTCCTGTACGGAGAGAGTGCAGGTGGTCGATGAACGCAGACGTTCTTGACCGACAGATTGGTCCAATTTACACGGCACATCTCTCTTTTCGTTAAAAACGAGGATTAATTACGATAACAGACTGATTAATGGTTAGATTGCGCGTCTTTGAATAAATGGATGAGCAAGAATCGTTGCGAGGTGGTAGATTCCGAAAGGAGCACAACGCAAAGCTTGGATGTCATGACAACGGCTGATGGCCGAGGAGGTGCGACCAGGTCGCAGAATACTCCGGCAGATTGGTGGATATTTTCAGTATGGATGTTCGGAAATCCCGCAGAGAAAATCGGGTGGAAATCAGAGTTGGGCTCAGCGAAGTACTTGAAGTAGGGGCATGCGAGTCGGGCGGCAGAAGGACGCAGACTGCGGCCGAGCATGGAAGGCAATCAGTAGAGGAAGCGAGGGCTGCGAGCAGAGATGTGAGACGGAGCAGACATCGTGAACTGATCGGAGGGACAGAGAAGGCCCATTTGAGGCAGTGTGCGGCAGTCGGAGGCTAAGCTTCTGCCTAGGGTACGTTCAATGGCCGCAGGCGGCAATCAGAAGCAGAGCGTGGAGCACATTGGAATGGGAGAAGCTCGACGGCAGAGAGCTGCGCTGTCTGAGCAACGCGTTGAGTACGGTAACGGCAGGGAGGCGAAATTGCTGACGGTGCAGAGCATTCGATCGGCTCTAGGAGCAGCGGCCCGCTTCTTCGAGGGCGGGGCACGACAGCGGGTGTTGTCGGCGTGAAATCGTAGATAACTAAGAGAATTTTGTCGCAAAAATGAGTTGACCCCCGCTGTTCTTTATGTCGTCGGAATGAGTGATGTTAATTCAGCCCATAATCAGGAAACCATCTGAAAAGCATGATCCTTCATGTAAGACGTAAACAAATGCAAAAAAAGGAGACTTTTGAAAATGGCAGCCAATTCGTAACAGCTGTCAGCGAACGCCTTCAGCCCTTCCGTTCTAGGAGTCACTCCGAGACGATCACAACAATAAGAACTCCAAAGAGGTCAATTGTAGCAGCCTACTTTACCATTCTTCAATCTAAAGTTAAATGGTCATCTCAATTTTTTTTGTTTATCATAGAAGGTTCCCCGTGGTGACAATCCGCCGAGATGACGACATAAACAGGTGGTTATGTGTGCAACTTTTTTTGGCCTGTGACCTGACCAATTATCGCATCCGCAGGTGTTTCCCTCACGTAATCGCAGTCGCGATAAACCATTTGAGGCAAACCTTGATGTGCAAAGCGACATCAGTTCTTCTAAGCGCGATGTCATCGTCACAATACAAATGTCATGTAAACGTAGAACAAAAATCATTTTCGTACCTCGGCAGTCCAAGTTAAAAGCGGGAACTACAGAAAAATTAACAACACTTTTCTCTTTTTCATACATATCATATTTTATTACCTTACAACAGTAAGAATTCTAAAGAGGTCAATAGAGCTCTGTAGCTTAACTCTTCAAACTGAAGTTATATGGAAGCTGAAAAACAGCCCCCAATCTCGTGGACTTTGACGAAAATCACCTTCTTGAGACTTGCAACCTCGATTTGACCAAAAGTTGGTGCTAAGTGACGGGCTCCAGAAATCCTAATTTTGATAGGATCTTTAGTATAAAAAATAAAGTATTATAACACAACAGGTAATTATGCCTAGATTATTTCCAAGTTGCTATAGGAGGCACAGATCTAGGAAGACTGGTTAAACTAAACAAGCCAAGTTCCAAGAGATACTATCCCACATTAAACCAGATCTATTCAGATACTAATAAATGATTCCTTCTTCTTGCCCCGATTCTAAGCGCAGATGGCACTTTGCCAGCTGTTCCAAACGGTCATTA